GGGGGGGGGTGGCTTACCGATTGGCGAGGGACTGTGTCTGCGGGTGCGAGATTGGCAGATCGCGCTCGGTGGCGTTGAAAATTTGGAAGGGGCCGTTGGCCGCGAAGCAATCTTGGCTCGAGGACGAGGACACTAGCACGCTCGCCAGGGCCACGTAGACCGCGGCATTCTCATAGTTGCTGTAACGGGCCATCAAAAATTATAGCATTAAAAAACTGTTGTTCGCCGAGAGGCGTGCGGAGACGACGCGAACATTCTGGTCAAGCGGGTCTATATGGTGGGTGTTTCGTTGTAGCCGAAGTCGAGTTGGCGGTCGTGTAAGCCGTCGCGTGTGGCGGCGCCGGGGCTGGGGTAGACAAGAGTGGCGTAGGTGAGTGTGGCGTTGACGAGAGGATATTGAGCGGAGAGGCAGATGCAGTTTGTTTTGAGGGCGGTTCCAACGAAGAGGAGTTGGTCGGCGTTGGTTTGATTCCAGGCGGGTCCGTCTGCGGGGTCAGAGACTCCGTTGCAGTCCATGTAGAGGCCGGTGTCGTCAATCTGGCAGCCGGTGGGTGTGCCGATGGTGTATACGTAGTCTCCGATTGAGTCTTTGAAGTAATCTGCGCAGACGCCATTGCGTTTGGTGATGCCGAAGCCACCGGCAGTGATGTCTGCTTTATGGATGCCGTCGCCGTAGTAAGGTCGTCGGAAACGTGCTCGTGTGGTGACGTTTCCTCGTTGCGCCAGTTCGATGGCGATCCGGGGCGTCGGCAGCAACCAGGTGTAGTTGCCGATGTACGAGATTCCCTCGTTATGCCAATCGCGACTTTCAAGTTCATCACGACAACATGCGTGCACAATCTGGTCCAGCGTCATCTCCATCGAATAACTGAGCACGCAACCGGGCGCCGATATTGCAATGCACTCGCCCAAAGAGGCCACCGAACTCGCCGCCTCTGCCGGACAAGATAGACCGCGACAACGTTTACTTCGACTCGTCACGTTCACCGAAATCCGCCAACCGGAATCGTACGTCGACCATTGTCGGTGCAACCAGTTCCCGTAGTCCGTGTGATCCACATACAGCGGATTGATCGGGTTACGTTGCACGTCAATCAAAATGTCATCCGAGTAATTCACCAAACTACCCGCCTTCAACGGCTGTGGCGCATGCACCGCCTGCATCCGCGCCTCCTCAGACATGTCTAAGGCCGCACGACTTGACGGTATTGAGTCCCTCGGCGCCAAGGTCGGAAACGCAGTACCTGCGCGCAACCGCCCGAAGCTCCCCGGGCTGTTCCCTTCCGGACTGTTCCCCCTCTTGGCGTTCCCGATATCATTGCTGCTGTTCCCGTCGTTCCTGTTCCCGTCGTTCCTGTTCCCCTCGTCACTACTCACCTGCGCCGCCCGCAGCTTCAGGTGCAGCGGCGCCAGTCCGCTGGCCGCGGAACCTTCTGTCTCGGTGCCCGTGTCCGTACCGGAGTCGTCCGTGGCGGCCGCCGTTGTAGTGGTCGTCGTAGTCGTAGTCGTCGGCTGTGTGATGAAGTCGCGGCTGTCGAATACACGCTTCGTCGCCTTCGCCTCCAGGTAGCCGTCGCTATTGAGCAGGAAGCCGTCCAGGCGCTGGCCGCCCTCAAACATCACACCAGCATGGCTTGCGAGCACCGCGAACAGGACAATATTACGCAGCATTTTGCAGTTCACAAGTAGTCGGTGCACTCGTCAGTAAGTCGGTGCACTCGTCCGTGCAGTTAGTTGCAGTTCGTGTTAGTTAGCTAGTTACCGTCCGTGTAGTTCGAGCCGCCGATGGGGGGTCGAATTTCGTTAAAAAAAGCGCGATGAAAGGAAACTGGTAACTGCTCGCTCTGTGCTCACGCCGTTCCCGTAGGGCTGCTCGACTGCTAATTGCGTGCGTGGGCGTGCCGTGCATTTACTACACGTTACGGACAAGTGTGGCCACGACGGCGTTGATGATGGGACTCGTGGCCGTCGGTGGCACGCTGGAGTATTTTTCGTTGCGTGAGATGATCTTCAAGGCGACCAAGCCGGCGACTGCGCGGTTTGATCGGCTCATGGTTGCGGTCGTACTGATGACCTGCTTCTTCGCGGTCATGTCCGAACTGCAGGAGGAGTCGCAGTCATTCAAGTCTGCCCGTGTTTGGGTGCTCGCCATGAAGGTCACCCAGTTCATCATCGCTCCACTCTGCACCCTCATTCTGCCCCTCGTCAGCTGCAACCTGGATCTGGACCCGACCGCGCAGGATGACACGGCGCCCGCCGCCCGCGCCAAGTCAATCGACCCACACATACTCATCCCGTACGTCACGCGCTGGCTAAGCGACTGGGGCTTCATCAACCTCGTCGCCTCCACCCTCACCGGCATGGTACGCATACGCAAGTCCGTGGACCCCCACGGAGCCGCCATCGGCATCTCCAAAATGGTGTTCGTCATCATGACGCCCTGGGTCGGAGACGCAGGCGCACTACTCATCGGTGGCAAACTCGGCCGCTGCCGCGTCATCCCCGCCATCTCACCCAACAAGACGCTTGAGGGCTACTGCGGACTCGTAGTCTTCGCACTCCTCTCCACCTTCGGCATGCGCTACATCGGCTGGTGGCTCTACCCCCAGCACCAATTCAACCTCTTCCAACGCACTGCCAACCCCCTCTTCCTCGCCGTCGTCTCCGTCATCTCCGCCTTCGCCAGCGCCGTCGGTGACCTCATCGAGTCCACCCTCAAACGCATCGCTGGCGTCAAAGACACAAGCAACCTGTTCGGCCCACACGGAGGCATCCTCGACAAGGTCGACTCCATTATGATACTCACCGTTTGCCTGTCACACCTCATCGCATAATTGTGCGACTCACCGTGCCGACTGTGCGACTCACCGTACCGACTGTGCGACTCACCGTACCGCATGTGCGACTCACGGCGAGGTGTGTGCGACTCACAAAGCCGAATGTGCGACTCACTGTGCGTTGTGTGCGGCCCAGCACACAGCGCCAGCACCCATATGATTGGAAGGAAGTAAAAACACCCTCCCAACGAGCCAGGTTACCCAACGAAGTCCAAAAGTTCAGTTGTCCGCACCCGCGAAATGATGCTGAGAGATATTCTGGGAAGATTAACAATGAAATCCTAAAAGTACAAACCCGTCATGCTTTCCCTGCTGGCCCGTACCTGCCCTAGGATGGGAGGTGCTACGGGGCGGTGTTGGGTCGTACTTGTTGGAAAACGGCTTTTTGGTTCCAAAGATCTAACCATGTATCCAGCTCGCGCCTTTTGTCAAAGCTTGCGCGCTTTTTCTCATTGGTGACCACCAGCTGGGAATCAAACCGTTCCAGTAAGGTAAGATTTTTCTGCAGTGTGTTTTGTATAGCGAGGTATTGCTGACCCCCCGGTAGGTGACAGTCGATGGAATTGGGAATAATATCGTTTAGCGGCTTTCTCAGTAAATATTGGTTCTTGGTAACCACCTTGGGATGCAAGAAGCAGAGCAGAAATTCACCCAAGCACTCTCCTGCCAACAGTAGAATTGGTAGTCGCTCATCGGTGCCTGCCGACATGGCTCTCCGTTCCAATTTTTTCGTAGCGCTTTGCGCTAATGCCGAGTCCGACAAGGGCATAGTCGCCTGGGCACCTACTGATTCACTGAAAATCAGATCAGCTCTCTGATCGCCTTCAACCATTCCTCCCTCTTCCTGCACCCCCCCGCTTTCCTCTGTCCCTTGGGCCTCCGTCCCTTTGCCATCCACGATTCCTTCGCCTTCCATAGATTGATGATCAATCAGTTTGTTAGCAGTCATTACAGCATGTTGAATTGAGTCCGGTTGCGTGCTCAGACACCTCTGTATTCTGCCGTGACTTATTTTGAACCAGGCAGTAACCATGTCCAGAACTTCGTTGGAAATTTGTTGGTGAAGGAGATGCGGTCTTACGAGGACGACGAGCGCGGAGATGCGGACGGCAATATGAAGGGCACCGCGGTGGTAACTGAGCTGGAACCACTTGAGCACTATGACAACTAGACTTTCGCCCAGAGACCGCTCATGACTAGCCCATGGCACAGAGCCAGATCTGGAAAATAAACTTGGAGCGGTTTCATTGCTATTGCGTATATTGAGTAGTTGGATTATCGAGTCCAAGAGGAACACGAGCGTGGACCCCGTGCTGAGCCGCTCTGAAGAAGCATTGCCAAGCTCGGAATCACGGAGTTGGCGGGTGTTCTGCAGGATTTCCAACTTGGAGATCAAATGCGTAAGGCACTGGTCTAGTACGCCAATCTCTATGTTGATGCCCTTGTCGTCGTCTACGGCAATCTCGCCGAGTTCCGGCCCTGAGTTATCCGTCTCGCCCTTGGTACTCTCGCCCTTGGTACTCACGCCCTTGGTACTCTCGCCTTTGGGACTCTCGCCCTTGGGACTCTCGCCTTTGGGACTCTCGCCTTTCGGACTACCTTCCCAGTTCCTTGTTCGTACCCTAGAGTCAGAGTTTGGGTGCTGCGGATGGTACGTGGTCAGGTAGAGTAGGAGACAAAGGATGCCTTTGGGGAAGGATCTGTGGGTGAATAGGTGGGTCAGAGAGAGTAGAGGGTGATGTTTGGCTAGCATGATTAGCTTGGGTGGCCGGAGATCGCTTTGGTAGGCCCTGATGGTGAGTACGAAGCCGTCCCGCAGTACGTCGTGGAAGGTCCTGTCCTTGGAGGCCAAGTCAACAGGGTAGGGGTAGGTGGTGGTCAGGTCTCGGCAGAACTGCTCGAGGAGCACGAAAGATTGCAGGAGTTCGGCCGCTCGGAATCGAACGCGGGTTTCCTTGGTTATGAGGACGTACAACTCGATCAGGCTCTTGAGCGCGCAGACCACAGCCCTCTCGCCCTTGAGGCGTTCCGACACGGCCTGGATGACCTGCGCGCTCTCGTACAGCTGCATAGTCAACGACTTGATGTAATGAATAACGTGTCTCAAAATTCGCAGTTCATGCACACGCAGCGCTGCGTGCGCCACCGGATACACCACCAACGACATCGCCGGCTTCATCACGTGCGTGTTGTCCACGTTCGCCGCCAACACTTCTCCCGCCGCCTCCAAAGTCACAAACGTACCCGCCTCCAGCCAGTAAAACGTGTCCGGCAAATTCATCCCCAATTGACCGGTGCCCAACTGACCGGATCTTAACTGACCAGCCCCCGACGGGTTAGCCCCGGGCAGGACCGCGGCCTTCCCCGGCAGTACCGTGTTCTTGTTGTAGAACTCCAGCACGGTGTGTACGGCTCTCTTCAGGTCGCCCGCGGCCTTGGTTCGGCGCTGGGGACTAGTCAGGTGTTTCGGCAGCCGTGTGGCTGTCGTTGTGAGCATGTAGCCGATGCTAACTTCCGAGACGATGGCCGCGTGCACGTGCTCCACGACCCGCCGTTTGTTCCCGGCACTCGTCTCCTCGGCCGCCTCCTCGGCTGCCTCCTCGACCGCCTCCTCGACACCGGCCGTACAGCCCACGGCCACTTGCACCACCGTATCGGCCAGGTCCAAATCGGCCACGGCGCCGTCGCGCGCGACCAAGTACTTGTAAAGCAACTGATCCACGCTGCAGTCCTTCGTTGCCAGCGCCTGTACCGCCAGCCCTTCCGCTGTCAACAGGTCGCCGGGTGGTTCCAGTGTGGCCCTGGACATTGGGTAAGCCTTCTGGGAGTTGGTCAGGTGAGGATCAGTGTGGCGGGTGTGGGAACCAATCAGGTCGTCGCCGTCTGCGTTCAGCGTCGGCGGCAGACGGTTGTCCTCCGGCGGTTTGGTTTCAGTGAGGACGTCGTTGAGTGTAAGTTCATCGGCCCAGGTGTCGGGCACGCGGAGTTGATAAGTAGGGAGGAGAAGTTGGACGTGGAGGACCTCGTTGGGCTTGCCCACAACGACGTACTGCATCGCGGCCTTGTCGATACCGAAGGAGGGGTTGAGCGAAGCATGGACCCGTTCGGCCGTGCCGTGTCTCGCATAGAAGCGCGGCAACAGCTGCGCCAACAGTTGCGCCTCGCATAAGACCTGCACCACGTCCCGCGGAGCATTGAAGGCCGATGCCAAAATTGCACCCACCACACGAACGGCTTCCGTCCCGCGCACGGCATCCGCCCCGGCGGGGGTGGGGGTGGAGGTCCCGGTGACGGCTTCTACAAACTGACCCAGGATCACACTCCGGTATATGTCTAGCTCCGCCTCGTTGTGGATCAGCGGCCACTGCACACTGCGCCAAAGGTAAGACCACTCCTCCGCTTGGACCTGGTGCAACTTGAAACGTCGACGCTGCGTCGATGCAAGCGGCGATGATGCCAGTGGCGAAGAAGCTAGCAACCAACCGTCTCCGGGCGACGCGCCTCCGGGCGACGCGCCTCCGGGCGACGCGCCTCCGGGCGAGGACGGCTCGTGACTACCCACAATCGTGGCACACACGTCGCGCCAGACCTCCGACTCCTCGAACAACTGCGCCAACGTCCACCCCTTCCCCGCCGCCGGCTCATTAGAGTTTCCCATATAAATCAACCCGTTCCCGAAGAGAGATAGCCCTTGGACAACTTTTCACCAGGGAGCCCTTTCTCTACTTACGGGGACAATTATTGATTTTCCCAACCCCGCGCTTCCGGCATTGCCGAGACTCGAACCCGCGTGTTCTCACGAACGATTCGTATTCAAAAATCAAAGCGTCGTGGCGACGGGGTCGAACGACTTATAACCGCCCAAAGCAAAGGCGCTGAAACCCTCCACGGTCCGCGCGCCCGGATACTTGTACACCTTTCCGTCGGTCTGCAACGAACACCGTCCCCTGTGCCACCGACTCCTCTGCCCAATCGTCCTGGCTGCCCCAAGCAGGACTGTTGGGGTTTCGTTCCCAGACCCGGTGTAGAGCCCCCAGTAAGTGTGGCTTACATCGAAGAGATACATGCGCGGGAATCCGGTGATGTCGAATTTGGTTTTAAGGGCGTCTTGTGTAGTAGCGTCGACTTCGCCGACACGAAGAGCCGTGCCGTCGGGTCCCTCTCCAAGCTCTTCGCTCAGGTCCACCCAGGTCTGCGCCATGCGTTTGCAATGTGGGCACCAGGGAGCAAAGAATTTCACGAACCACCGCTCCGTCTGTTCGCCCGTTCCGATCTTTGTCGTGCCCACGAAGTTGTCGTCCGTCAACTCCACCACTTCCGCAAACACCGCAGACACTGCCAACAAGACCGCGCTTAAGAACCTCATCACGTGCACTCTAAATCAATACTGATCTCTCAACCAAACGCAATACAACCAAGTGCCAAAGCAACTGGATATTAATCAGATGCCGAATGAGATAATTTCCACCATGAAAATACGACTCGCTGAGACGGCGCCCTTCCCGTCCCAAGACCACTACCGTCCCAGCTGCATCGTCCAGCCTAGCACCCTTGCCCACGTTCTACGACTCAAGACCTACTCTCTCCCCGAGGATGTGCTCGCAATCGTTGCTCTCAAAAACAGGCAACTTTGCACCACCTCCCCACCCCTCCAAACTGCGACACAACCTCCACAAGGTGACCCCTTTGAGACCCAGTTCGCAGACTGCCCACCCCTGACCGATTGCCCCTCCATGGTACCAACCGTAGTCAGCCAACAACGGGCACGACGCCGGGACACACTATTGCCGCAAGCTTTCCTCGAAGACATCCGAACCAGGTACAAACTAGGCGACCTGGTAAGCCCGACCGACGGCACCCTACACGCCGCTATCCAGGCCCTCGACTCCCTCATCATCGAAGCCCCCCGTCACGATATCGGGTACCGCCACGATGTGGTGCACGATGTAGCAGACCGCCATGACGTTGAGGTGGTTGCGGAGTTCCGCTGGACGGGTACCGAGCTGTTGGTGAAAAAGGCGGGAGTGGAGGAGACTCGTTTTGACGCCGCGGTCGGCGACCTGGGTGCGCTGCATCGCACGCTGCTCGATGTCGAAGAGAAGGCGGCAATTGCCCTCCCGTTCCTGCATCCCGACTGGCACGGGGTCGAGGCCCGGCTGTTCTGTTGGCCCAGAGGCTGGAGCGTCTACTCCGCCACACGGTTCGGAACGGACTGGGCGGTGTACCCCGACCACCCTGACTTATGTCACGCGGACGCACTCGTGGTGCCACCCGAGTACAATTGGAGCCAAGTTGCAGCCCTGGGGAGGATCGCCACCAACACTAAAAAGGTACCCCTGCACATCGTACATCATGGGACGGGCGGGTGCGGGACGGGCGAGTGCGGGACGGGCGAGTGTCATCACTGATGTTTTGCAGCGCTTGGTTATGTCGAATGAGAACGGCGACTGGTTCACGCTGTCTCGCGTGCGGTGACCGGTCTGGCTGACTGTCCGGTTGCTGAGTGCCGGTCTATTTGACCGGCCGGTCGGTCTGACGGATGGATTGAATCACTGGTTGATGAATACCCACTGCGCGTCGGCTCTAATTTCGTCGCCTGCGAGTGAGCGGACGACTGCGAAGGCGGTGTCGGAATTGGTCCGGATGCGTTGTAGGTGTGCGCGTTGCAGTAGTTGGTGTTGGTGGTCTTGGTCTTGGTCGCGGAGGCCGGGTGTGGAGGCGAATAGTCGGAGGAAGTGGTTGCGCATGAGCACGAGCCAGGCCTCGAGGTCAAGGCGCGGCGTGACGAGACGGGGCGTGGCGCCGGCGGTGACGTAGGCGTTGAGGTCGTGGTGTTGCGGTTGGAGGAGTGCGCGGTCACCACCGAGGACCCCCAGAAGGCAGATGGAGGAGACCTTATGCTGCCTCAAGTCGATACGCCGTCCAAAACCATCGCCCGCGCCCACGAAAAAGTTTCCGCTCAAACTCCCCTCTCTGCGCCCACTTTCGGCGCCCTCAGGGGTACCCAACATACATCGACAGCCACCGCAGATACAACGACTCGACACCAAGTAACTCCAAGCATTCGTCGACCCAGGACCGCGGAATAGCCCACTGCCGCTCGTGTCGTCAAGCGCTTCATCTGGCGCATCAACTGGGGCAAACAAGCAAAACGTGGCAAAGCGTAAAAGAGCCTTTCCCAAAGCCAGCCACCAGTCCCGCAGTAGCCACAGGACCACAGAGACCAGCCGGCCATGTCGGGCGGCGAACGAGCGCGCAATACAGATGCCGCGCCGGCAAAAACAAGCGTTGCACACGCGTGTGCGGTAACTTATTTTGTAGCTTTCACGCCCTTGCCGGTCGTATCGCCAGTTTTCTAGGAACCGCCGCACCTCCTCCAGACAGACTGCTTCTCTCTCCGCCCACGACCAGTCGCAGCGACCGACCAGTCGTCGCTGGTAGCGCAGTCTGCCGCCGTGCTTCAACAAGCGCAAAATAGGCTTCGGCACGCGCCGGCTGCAGCGCGGGACGTCGACTACAATGCGGTCGTCGAATTCGCAGCCGCGAGAATGGAAACGCGATCTCGACAGCCGCGCGCTCTTGCTGCAGGGGTCCAGAGGGCTTCTGAATCCTGGCGCTTGTCCAGGCGCCCGCGCCATGTTCCAGGTCCAGAGACTGGGACAGTTGGCCAGAATGCGCCACCAGTGAACTCGATCCACCCATCTGGGCACGCCTTCCGGTCGGGAGCACTCGACGGGCAACAGGAACTGGTGCACGGCCAGCGGAAGGCCGGCAACCGACTCGCGCGAAGGCAGACGCCCCTCAGAGATGACTCCTCCCTCGGAAACGACTCCCCCCTCGGAAACGACCCCGACTCCAGTGCCGCCCGAAGCAGCGTTTCCTGCCGCGGGCTGACCCAGACGGTAGCTTCGATGTTCGTAGCGCGTGGCGTCTGGCGCCTCTCCGAACTGGGGTGTGAACGCGGGATGGGGCCGGTCACCAGCAGGCCGGAGCAGATCCTCGAAGTGGCGCTGAACGTACCGCTGCGCCCACCGCGGGTTCTGGCGTCGTAGCTGGTGCGGCAGCCACGTGCCCTGTGCGTCCAGCACATAGTGCATCGCGGAGTCCAGCTCTTGTCGCCGCGGTGGTGGGACCACGGCCGTCTCCGTCCACCCAAGCTCTGCGGGAGCCGGCTCCGAAGGCGTCCCGTCCGAGGGCGCCTCGTCCACCTCCGTTCCCACTCCCCGGCGTCGAAGCCGCGGCAAGAACGCGCTACTCAGGCTCCGAGAACCAGCCAACAACGCGTCCAAGGGTAACAACTCGTCGAAGCACACGAACAGACGCCGGTACGCACTCGTCATGTGCGCTCGTAACACCAACCGGTAAAAGTCCCACAGCGCCACGTGCGTCTCCACAGTGCCCCCACGACTCGCGATACCTGTCAGAGAAGTTGCTTGGAAGCCAGCCAGAGGATCCGCCACGCACGGGTCGACCGGCCACGAGTCACACTCCCTGCTCTCGTGCGTCGGCACCTCGAAAGAGGTGGGCGCGTGGAAAGAGGCCGGGTTTTCGAAGGACTGGGGGGCTTCGAAGGAGTGGGGGGCTTCGAAGGACTGGGGGACTTCGAAGGACTGGGGGACTTCGAAGGACTGGGGGACTTCGAAGGAGTGGGGCAACGGCCCGGAATCTTCAAACGACATGGGCGGGAACGGCAGCACAGTTGGAGGCGACACGCCTCTGGCAGAGGAGGCAGGCGACAAGGCTTGGTCCCCAGGGGACCACGCCACCGGCTCAGGGGACAAGCCGGCTGGGGCACGGGTCCCAGGCGACAAGTCTTCAGGTCCAGGCGACCAGACGGCTTCAGCCGCAGGCGACCGGGTCTCGGGCCCCGGTGACCAGGGTCGAGGTGGAGGTGACAAGGCCCCAGACCCAGGTGACCAGGCTCGGGATCTAGGTGACCAGGCCGGATGCCCTAGTGACAAGGAGGGGGGCCGAGCTGAGAAGGCTGGCCGTCCAGGCGACCAGGCTTGAGCCCCACGTGTCACGGATGGAGTCTGGGGTGACAAGGCTGGTGGCCGTGGCGACCAACCCCGGACGTCGAGTGACCAGCAGGGAGACAAAGGCGCAAAGGCTTGCTGTCTAGGCGACCGGCCTGGAGACCACGGAGACAAATTTCGGGGGCGAGGTGACAAAGCTCGGGGGCGAGGTGACAAATCTCGGGGCCGAGGTGACAAAGCTCGGGAGCGAGGTGACAAATCTCGGAACCGAGGTGACAAAGCTTGGGCTCTAGGTGACCAGGCTTGAGCTCCCGGCGACCAGGCTCGAGGTTCACGCGACCAGGCTTGGCTTCCGTCGCGAGGGTCGTCAGTGAGCGACTCGTTGGATACTTCCAATGGCGAGTACCGGAATTGGTGGGTACTGTGCAGAAAGCCGTCCCAGCTGTCGGTGGAGAAGGAGGTGTGGGGCGACTCGCGGTAGAGCGCGTTGTGGTCTGTCGGTTGGTGGATCGAGAGGTCGGGTTGGTCGTCGTCTGAGGACCAGTCAACGGCAGAGTCAGCCCAGGTGCGTTTACCGGCGAGAGGTTTCTCGGGTGGCAGGTGCAGGGTGCCTTTAAGAGCATCAAGGAGACGGCGGCTGTCAGGGGCTGGACAGGACTGGAGGCGGAAGGTCTCGGGCGGCTGGTCGTGATCGGCGAGGAGGTGCTGAAAGGCCACAGTCAGACCGCGGAGTTCGCCGGCTACGCGGCCGCCGCGGCACTTGATGAACTTGGTCGCCCGTCGCAGCTTGACACCGCCGCTGGCGGAGGTCGCGAGCAGGACGCTCACGGCCGCGCCTTCGTCCCGGACGGTCCGGGCTGAAGTGAGATGGGATAGGAGGGCGCGGCGGCTGCCGAGGAAAGCGACTGAGTCGTAGGAAG